ACAAAAAAACCAAAAACATATACGATAGGTTGCAAAGGTTTAGCTTTAAAACAGTAATTGACGTATCTGCTATATTTACCCTATAACTTCAAAATTATGTCTGAAATCATAGACATATGAGGCATATCCATAGTCAGGACTAATAAACGTATATATTTTGAGTTTTTGCTTTGTTTTTGCTTTTGTTTGGCTGTGCTAGTTGTGTAGTAATTGTTAAAAGAAAAACTGCAAAAATGTATTTTCATTTTTATTATTTAATATTTTATTTAAACCTAACATTATGTTGCATATTTAAACAGAGCAATTGAAGAAAGCCTTATCGGTCATTTAAAAGACATGCATAATTTATATAGGTGCGCTTAGTGAGAAATTGGGAGATTGTGGTGAAACAAGCACATAGCAGAAGTGCTAAAAGAGCCTCAGACATGAATGCATTTAATTTCAGAAAAGTCCCTAAAAGATGCATTATTTCACAATTTTTTTAAATTTTGCAACAGAAAAAAAGAAATAAAGAAGACAATGTATAGCTAGCATATGAAAACAAAATTTAAACTTTAAATGCTAGTCAAATAAAACAATATTTTTAAGGTTATTTCAGCATAGTTTGTTTATAATTATAGAAGCAAGTAGAAAGTACTAGCGAGTACATGTTCTTGCACTGCAAGAATAAATGAGTCCCAGCATACTGTGAAAATAATATTAAAATATATATTTAAAAAAAATTAAACCTCTTGCTTATGTATATTTGAAAAGAAACTGGTGATATTTGGAGATATGTAGATTTCCAAAATGCTAACAATATAAATGTATAGGGGTTCGAAGGCCATATACAGTAAATACAGTTACCTAGGTAAAGTCAGTCATCTGTTCTTAAAAGTAAATTGCAGGCTTATGACGCATACTTGAAACATTTTGATTTGCAATGCTGATTTAGTTACTACACAAATCTGCAAAAATAGTTTACTCAAGTCTAACACCAAAAAAGTTGTTTGTTGCATTATTAGTGTAGTTTTTTTATAAAACTACTTTTATGTTATTGTATCACTCTGTATTAATAGAAATGCAGACCTATACGTGCGTGCTAGGCAGAGATCTGCAAAATACAGACTTGCACTTATTTTTTATTTTTTCTTTATTTGTCACTAGATGGCAGTAGAGTACATTTCTCAATACAACAATAAATAAAAAGCTATTTTTTATTCTATGTAGGAGGGCAAAATAGATAACCAATATCAGCTGTGAAAATTGAACAATCACTTGTGATGTCTTTGTATTTAAAAAAAAAAAAAGACCTGCAGGGTGGAGGGGGGAATTGATGGTCGTTATTAAGTAATGTTAGTTGATGCTTTTCTGCGTGATGGGAAATGATATACAATTTTGAAAATATATTAGAATTGCATATAATTGGGTGTAAACATATAATTAACATGGCAAATGTTATTTGCAATTAAAATATTAAATATTACCCTTATTATGGTTCCTGTATACCCAATAGTGCATTCCTTGTGTTATTGGCTTATTTGGTTTCTGACTTGTGCTCACTTGACTATATTTGATATGTATAATCAAGACATTCACTGGCTCTTTATTTTTGAGTCTTTTTGTACTTCTTTGACCTAGACCTGTTTACTCTCTGTCTGCACATTTAGCCTATCTCTGCTCTGTGCTAGCCCGATCACTCTGAGAACCGGTACCATCAGTCTTTTTCAAATCTTTGGGTAGTCATTTTTTGGTGTTATTTTTTCTCACATTGTACTTTAGGCATGGATTCTCAGTTCCTGTTATGTGTTACTGACAACGAACAACGAATATGTTCAACAACATCTCCTGAGTACAGTGATATGTACCCCCATGTATAGGTGTGTCGGGTTCTCTGGGGGCTAAAAGACCTTATTTGGAGGGTGCACATTCCAGTTTTCCAACTTGGAATTTTCACAGCTGGTCATCATACACCCATGTCCTATTTGGGACATTTTGAAGCTGACCAATGTAATTTACCCTCATCAACCAAATATTTTTTTTAAAGTAAACACCCTAGGGTATTTCAAATGGTGGTATTTTAACACTTTCCATCCACTAATTTTATCACCAATCTTTTTCAAACCTTTGGATAGTAATTTTTTTGTGTTATTTTTCTCTCACATTGTACATTAGGCATGGATTCTCAGTTCCTGTTGTGTGTTACTGACAAAGAACACCCCAATATGTGTTCAGCAACATCTCCCGAGTACAACAGTGCCCCAAATGTACAGGTTTTATGGGTTTTTGCAAACTTACAGGGGTCAAATTTAGGTCTTTCCCATTTTCCATGTTTGCACATTGAAATTTGCCAGATAGGTTTGCTGGGTCTATGTTGCCTTTGAGAACATATAGCAGCCCAGGAAGGAAAATTAACCCCAACATGGTATACCATTCGTAAAAGTAGACAACCCACGTTATTCAAAATGGGGTATGTCCAGTCTTTTGTAGTAGCCACTTAGTTACAAATGTTTGCCAAACTTAGTGTTCATATTTGTTTTGTGCATTTTGTTTTTACACGATAACTGCACTTTTACTTGTGATTTTATCATCGTGATGATAAGTTTTACTGTTTTAAACACTCATATTTATATTCAGCAAAATCTCCTGAGTATAACAATACCCCCCATGTACAGGTTTTATGGTGTTTTGAAAAGATACAGGGTCAGGATAGGGCTTTCCCCAGTTTAGTTTGCCAGATTGGTTTGCTTGGTCTGTGTTGCCTTTTGAGACCATATGGTAGCCCAGGAATGTGAAATAGCCCCATCATGGAATACCATTTGTAAAAGTAGACAACCCAAGGTATTCCAAATAGGGTATAAGTTAGCATTTTTATTTGTTTTTTATAATTTTTCTTTTTCAGTCAAGCACTGGGTCAAATAACTGTAAGTAGGAGTGCAAGGCTTTTTTTCAATATATATATATATATATATATATATATATATATATATATATATATATATATACAATTTATACAATAAGTTTGTGTATGTGTATATACACACACATATATATATATATATAAAAATGCACACACATACATAATATGTGTGTGTATATATATATATATATATATATATATATAATACACAAGATCCAGCGCACTCACCTATCCACTAAACAGCAACTTCAATGTTGAAAGATTTTATTTGTTTTATATATATATATATATATATATATATATATATATATATATATATACACCGGGGGGAGCGATCACCCAGTGTTCTCCGGGGGCCACCGGCAGTGAGGGGATATTGTAGCGATTCTTCAACATCGAGGCATCTCTGCAATACCATTAGAGCTGCTGGAAGCAATCAACCAGGACCATTTTTGTCGGCCGTACCTGATACATCCGTGGTCACTAAGGAGTTACTCGATCGATGATATCTGCTCAATATTATCATGATGCATTCTAAAATAATTTTAAAAGTAATAGAAATATGTATATAAAATAGGAGTAAACTGATAATATAAAGTGCAATATTATAAGGTACCAAATATATTGAGTATAGAGTAGATTTACAAAGCAAAAGTAAAAAGCAAATAATTGCAACAGTTTCTATAATACAGTATTTACAAAGATTATTAAGACTTTTTTTATTTATACAGACTTGTTTGTACTAATGGAGAGATGGTAGGAGCAAATAATGATTAAACTCTATCAAACTCAGAAGTGTTGAAATTGTTTTAAGTTATTTATACTTTGGGACTTCTGACTTAACTAACAAAGGACATGGAGAGCTGTGGTGGCTTCAGAAACTACTTGTTAATTTTCGAAAAGCAAAGTGTTGGGGGAAAAAAACAAAAACTCCAAACAATAAATACAGCTAGATTATTTGGCCTAATAAATAATTGGGGGAGGGGAAAAAAACAACAAAACAAAACAAAAAACTCCAAACAATAAATACAGCTACATTATTTGGCCTAATAAATCATTAGTTTTTTTGATATTCAATAAAAACCAAAGAAAAAGTTACTTGCGCACTGTCCCAAATGCCCATGAACATTTAAAAAGTTTGATTTTTTTTAGTATCACTCCAATGACCATTAAAAGGTTTAGAAAAACACCCCTCTTTGTTTCATTGGAGATTGTACCTTTCACCTTAAAGAAGCAAGGTGAATTGCTAGTGTAGGACTCACCTAAGAGGTTTTGCCTTGACTTGGCAGGTGAGCTTAAATGTAATGGCCATTGAAGTGATACTAAAAAACCTCCCGTTATTTAAATGTGCATAGGGATTTGGGATAGTGTGTAAGTGACTTTTTCTTTGTTAGTATGTTTTTTGTATGTATATGGGCAGATGCGTACTATAGTCATTGCTGCCACCCATGAGTAGTGGGATTTTGAGCACTGGGCTTACATTTGTAGGTTTGCATTTGCTTTTGTATTTCACAGTCATGTTACAGTGCTGTTGCCCACGCCATGTTTTCCATATTAAGGGTTAATAACTGTGCAGTGGTTTACAAAAATACCCCTCTCAGTCTCATTAGAGATTTTACCTTTCAGCTTAAAGAAGCATATTATTTTTAATACCCCTCTAAGGATAGAGACAACGCCAGTTCTTTGTATGAAAACTATTTACAGCTGCCCCACTAATATCCATTTCCAGTAAATTGTTTCAGTACAAAAATACCACTTTCCACAAAAACAAAAGTAAAAATAGGAGGTTTGGTTATGCAAACAATGTATGGGCTGCACCTTAAAGGTTAACTAATATAAATACTTCAAATAATGCATAAATAATAACTAAATAAAAATGTTTACATTGTACAGAGTACTGTTTTCACGAAAGATATTAAATAAAAATTTTTAATAGTAAATATATTACCATATATATATAGAGAGAGAGCACACATTTTTAACTTTCTGTACTTAAAACTGTAATCAGTATATCTCCAATAATAATTAAAGTCTGACACATGTCTATGAACCATTTCCATTAACCAAATTACAATGAATACTCAAATACTACAGAGCATAATTATGCAATAGGGCTACTTTGTGTCCTTCCAAGTTTTGCCGGTATTTTCACTTTGATTCCATTATTCAGCTTCATGCATTTTATGCCAGACAGATGTTTTTTCATGAGTACCTGAAACCTGGTCTTTTCACATTTCGTGGGACATTTGTTCGTGTTGCTTGAAGATGGCAGCGTAGAATGAGCTGTATCTGAATCTTGACATATTCCTTCCCAAGACACTGACCTGTTTGGTTTTCTTGACTTTCTTGAACATTCTTTGAGACTCTGCTGCTTCATTTGTTGGTCAGGACAATTCTTCCTTGAGAAGATATTCTTTTCTTTTTCAAGAAAGAGAGTTTGTGCACCTATGGAACTTTTGTTGAAAAAAAGAGATTCTTTTCTTCTAATATTTGGAATCTCTCCTAGTGCAAGAAAACCATAAGGGGTAGTAATTTTGGGAAGATGTGGCAGGGACAATGCTGCTCTTGTAGCTGGGTCTGAGTGATCTGCCACTTTATCTAAATCTTCAAATGAATAATCAGTTTTTTTTCCTTGCAACATACCTGCTGTTTTGATATGGGATTCTGAACGGCTTCTCTTCACTCTTGGTGTTGCAGATTTCTTTTCAGTGATATCCATTTCTTTTTGAAGATCATCAACATCTTCTGATGGCCCAACATGCAGAAAAACATGATCTACATCTAAGGATGGTATAAAGAACTTTGGGATACGATCTGGGGTCATGACAATGTTGAAAATGTCTCTTTTGCTATGATATATTTCAGGTGATGGTTTGTTCGTTTTATAGGTTTTCCAGGTAAGAATCGTTTCAAAAACATTTTTTACAGAAAACTGTGCAGTGGCTGATAACATTTCGAGGTTGCTTTGATTTGAAAGTGATGTTGGAAATGAAGAGCTTTCTCCACGGGAACTCAATTCCTGTTTATAAAACATAGAAATCCAATGTACGTCACACAATAGTTAGACGTGTTTGGCATGGCAACCAAAGATAAGGAGATTTTTTACACTCCTACCCAGACAGTGATTCATGCACCATCATTGCTATACAGCAGTATACGTTCTTTGAAACATAATTATTGTTCATATATTTTACTCTTTAATGATGTTTACAGAATTAGTGAAAATAGCACTCTTACTTTTAATCTGAGTCCTTATTGTGAATGAAATAGACATTCTGCATCTCAGAATTCCTCTCTGGTCTTACTTAGAATAGATTTTGTGATGCAGCTGAGCAAGTTAATACAGCTGTTTGGCCTTCAGGCAGATTACGCAAACTGGACGTTAGGCAAAGCATGACTAGAAGATGAGGGCCTGTAAATCATTAATCTAGAAGAGAGATTTGTATTTCATTTTATTTGAGAAATGTTGGACTAGGTAACATCAAACCACAACAACAAACCATCAGCAGATAAAAACAGTCTGGTTTGTAACACTGTTTTATAAGGTTTACAAGGATTACTCCATACAGTAAACTTAAAATATAATATGTTTGCATGTTATGGAAAATAAAAGTTTCTTTAATGGACCTGATCTCTGTACATATAAATTTTAAATGTTCCAGTGTTTGTCACTGGTGAAATTTTTTTTCTCAGTAATAAACCTCTAATGTCAGCAGAGTCATGTAAAGGTAAACTATAGTGCCAGTAAAACAAACTAGATTTCCTGGCACTGTAGCTTCCCTCTTTGTCAAGCCCCGTCCCCCCACCCCTCCCGTAGTGCAGAAGGGGTTCAATGCTTTCCTATGGGGATTCCGGTGATGCTGGAAGTTCTCATGTATCGTCTAAGAACCCGGAAGTCCCTCTAGTGGCTGTCTTGTAGACAGCCACTAGAGGAGGACCTAATAGTTAATAGTTAAACAGGTCTTGTAGACAGCCACTAGAGGAGGACCTAATCATAGCAGGTAAATATTGCAATTTATAAAAACTGCAATAATTACATGCTCAGAGTTAAGGGTGATGGGAGTTTGCACCCAGACCACTTCAATGAGCTTAAATGGTTTGGGTGCTTACAGTGCCCTTTTAAACAGTATTCTGTCTTACCCTTCAGAAGCCCTGTTTGCTCACCCCCTTATATGTTTAATGATTATGTTCTATTCTATCTTCCTACATAACAATTAAATTGTGTAAGAGATTGCGCTATTTTCTTACATCATGGACTGACTTCATTAAATGTATAAAGTTAATCTAAAAATAATAGAATACAGTTACAAATGGCTTAGATAGAAATAAAATGCAGTAGAAATAATTGCCTTACCAGTTTTGACTGACAGAAACCAATTACTCATCAGTAAGCAGCACTAATATGCTCAGTCAGACTTTAAAGGTTTAGATAATGAATATGTTAATACTATATACTGCACATTGGGACTCTTTCTTGACATATTTCAGTAAAAAAAAAAGATAATTCTGAATAACATTAATCTATATTAAGAAAATGCAATTAATCTTTGTTTAATTTAACAAGAAAAAATAAGGACTTACCTGCATATAAAAAAGGAAGTTAACTTAGTAGTATTAGCCTTAATCAGTTTTACTGGTTGTTAATATTAGGCAGCTATAAATCGATAACATAAAAAAGGGATAAATTACCAAAGTGAACTGACCCTACCTGGTAATAAGCTGCTTCCTTTTATTACAGGAAATAATTGTATAATATATCACTATAGGAGTGAAAAACATGTTACAATTATCTTGTTTGGTAAGAGTGGCAAAGAGGTGTGAGCATGTCACAATGTACCACACAGCTGTGGCGCATTCTCAGGCTTTAATATTGTGATGCCTATGTGGACCTCCAGCCATGATTTAGAATAGTCATTTGGCATTATTCACAGTATCTAAGCACTAAAGGATATCGGTATGTGTCTGTAGATATCTGTGCAACATGGCGCTCTTTATAATTCAGCTTATTATAATAGTATGGGCCTTCCGGAAAAAGGTCTCCAATAAAAGCATCACTAGTTGCATTGAATAAATGGGTTGGTGGTGATGATCTAGAATGCTTCACCAAGGCTGGAATGAGGAGATTCATGTTTATAAAAGATGCATGAATCAAGCCACATACAAGGTTATCGTGGAAGAAAACGTCCTTTCTTCTACTCTGACAATGTTCCCCAACTATGGCGATTGTTATTTACAGCAGGACAATGCTTCATGCCAGATCAGTGAAGGTGTGTATCGAGGACCAACACACCATGACCTGTCCAATCTCATGGCCAGTCAATTCTCCAGACCTAAACCACAGTGAAAACATCTGGAATGTGATCAAGAGAAAGACGTATGGTCATAAGCCATCAACTAAAACCGATCTGCTTGATTTTTTGTGCAAGAAAACAGAATTGTAAAAGACTTGTGAAGAGCATGCTACGATGCATGAATGCTGTGATTGAAAAATCAACCTTATTCCAACAAATATTGATTTCTGAACTCTTCCTAAGTTAAAACATTTGTATTGTGTTGTGTGAAAACTAATATGAACTTGTTTTCTATTTTGTTTATTTTTTTCTTCGCAATTTGGGAGAAATGTTGTCAGCAGAAATAGACTTAAGAAACCATCATTGTCTTGTGCATATTGAACTGCACCTTTGGTAAAGAGAGTTTGGATTTCTTAGTCGATAACGGCCCCTTGTTCTGTATAGGTACATTACGGTGGTGGTGTCGGCATCTGATGCGGTAGGTTGTGGAACTACCCCTGTAGTGGGATGAGGTCTGGTAGGTGGACGTAGGGTAGAACCCAGAAGATGGTGGGATAGGTTTGGGACCTGTATTCAAAAATCAGCTGGTGGCTCGGCCCCTCTGCCGACCAGCCCTTACAAAAACACCACGTCCTGGTGGTGAGCTGAATGCCTGTCTCATAGATGACTGGGCCTCGCTGAGAGTGATAAACAATGAAACATGTTTCTTGTGCTCTGCTATAAATAAGTCGTCAAAGAGCAGGCCGTTGGCTGAAGAGCCTAGGTCTTTATGGGCCTTATTCATCAGTTTCAATACGGTTCTTAACAGTGCAGTCCTGCGTCCTTCAGTGCATAACGCTACGTTGACATTCCCCAGCATGCAGATACATCGTTGGGCCCATTCCCTGATGGCATTGGGGTCTAGTTATGTGCCCTCTGACAGTGCCAGGTCCGTGAAGTACAGGATCTTGGAGATGGGGCCAAGTAGATCCAGTAACTTGTCCTAAAAGGCTTTGAGACCCTTCTTGATCCTTTTCCATGGGTCACATCCCGTCTAGTACATGAAAACGACCACCATCTGGTTGAACCCGGGCCAAGTTCGTCCACTTCTGGATGTGCAAGCTGTTTGACCGGGTAAATGCAATTTTATTTGGTAGTATGGGTTGTGAACGTACCACCCAGTCGAACAGCTTGCACATCCAGAAGTGGACGAACTTGGCCAGGTGGGTTGGCAGGTTCCATTCCGAGGACCACGGATGGCGGATGGTCTGTGGGTCAAACAGAGGACACAGCCTTCCATTGTGAGCAAATCCTGTGTATCTTGTGAAAAGGCATCCTCCACAAAAGATTACTTTAACATATGTTGCTTCCGAGTAGGGGACATTTTGCCAACCACCTTCATCATACGAATCCGAGGCGCCCACCTGCGTGGGTAGTTCTTGTCTAGCTGTATGCTTGCTACATTTAGCAGGTGCCATCCCTTTCGTCCGAGCGTGTGATATAGTGAGGCCAGCTTGTTGACATTTTGGAAGGGATAGGAGGTCCTTAGAGGGAACCTCAGAGCCCATAGTGTCATCCACGTCTTGCGATGTCGGCCACATAGCTTGAGTGGATATGTCATAAGGATCTTGTGAAAGCATTTTGGAGAAAGCTTTCTCCATGGATGCTTCCCTTGCAGCGTTTATCATCGTCTGAAAATCCTGGGTTTGTTGCGGGGCGTCCGACATGGTATATGTAGCTGTCCTGTAGGATGGAGAACATACGTGTTAGACCCCTTCCCTAGTCAAGGCCTGCTGGGTACACCCCTTGCTCGTTGCAATTTGAGGTTTGTCTGGTATATGGGTGTATGCAAACACCACTGGGTATGCTGTGATGTGAGGGCTCAGACACCTCACTAGTCGTATTGAGCGGCTTATTATAAAAGGGGGTGATACCCTTGTAAATTGTGGGGAGGCATAACCTAGTTTTCCAAAGCCAAAAGAACAGGTTAACCAACCCTAAATAGACTGTTTGAAGTAAATAACTGTACATAAAACAGTCAAGGATTATATAAGAGTGACAAGTTAAGAAGCATATACTCTGACCTCTTCCTTCAGGAGCAGCAAAGAAAGAGGGAGAATTGTGGACTTTATATCTGTGATGACTGTTGTTTTCTGATTGGTTAAAGTTGTTTGATTGACTTGTTGCTGCTGGGGTTTTAAGTAAAGAAAGTACCGTATATACTCGTGTATAAGTCGATCTCATGTATAAGTCGAGTGCAGTTTTGTGACCAACAATTCTGAAATATGCTATGCCTCGTGGATAAGTCGAGGGTAAAACTTGGGGCTATGAAATTCTGTGATTTTTATAATTATATACACACACACACTCATACAAACACACACTCTGCATTATATACACACACACTGCATTATATATACACACACACACACACACACACTCATACAAACACACACTCTGCATTATATATACACACACACTCATACAAACACACACTGCATTATATACACACACTCTGTGTATATAATGCAGAGTGTGTATATAATGAAGAGTGTGTGTTTGTGTAGTGTGTGTGAACTGGGTGGGGGGAGGGAATTTTATTATTTTAATTCTTTTAATTTTAATATTATTTTTTTTATTATTTTAATTTGTTTTTGTCCCCCCTCCCTGCTTGTTAACCGGTCAGGGAGGGGGGCTATCTTAATCCCTGGTGGTCCAGTGGCATGGGCTGTGAAGTGGCAGGAAGCATTTACTTACCTTTCCTGCAGCTCCTGTCAGCTCCCTTCTCCTCCGTTCCGGTCAGCTCCACTGTAAGTCTCGCGGTCTGGTTGCCGCGCAGATCGTTGCCATGGCTCTGACGGCCGCGGCTCTCTAAGTTGCCATAATACAGACAGTGACTCAAGTATAAGTCGAGTGGGGGTTTTTAAGCACAAAAAATGTGCTGAAAAACTAGATTTATACTCGAGTATATACTGTAAATGCAAAATATAAAGCCTCCTGTCATATGATAAAATTATGCAGCTTTGATTTATGTTAGATCCGACGTTCATCCAGTTATATCTTGTAACTTTATCTTATAGTTTTTATAAGTAAAGTTAATATTTCATTGATAAATGCTGGACCAGGTGATATGTCTAAAAATACATTGCAATATATCAAAAAAAGCCAAATGAGCAACACTTTTTTGCCCCATTTCTGTCTGACAGCCTTTTTTGTGTAAAGGTTGGCTACATATACTTATAAATAATCTTGCACTCATTTTTCAAGCCTATAACATGAATTACTTTTTACAATTTTATCTTTACAGTACATTTTCTTATGCAGATGTACTATTTTAATTGTCTTTTTTGTGGCATAATTATTATATTTAAAAATGCCATCACAATTAAAAAATGTAAATCAAGAATACAAGAAAATCTGTAATCCAAAACCTTCAAGCTGGATAATCAAAAAGTGTAGAGTTACCAAAAATACAAGAGTATTTCTATGTCTGCATCTAGTCCATGTGCATTAGCTATAGCACTACAAGCAGTCACACAGCAAGCTTCACAGATAAACCTGTCAAGTTTGCTTCCTACTGCTTTATCAACTGAGCATTAATCTAGCCACTCATAAGTGGAAAAGGCAAGGAGATTTAAACTTTCCTCTGTTCAAATAATATATTGTTTTATACCTTCAACTTGAGGGACAAAATCGTGCTATGGCTCAATTTCTGAGTGATTTTGTATTTTATTGTATGTTCATCTTCTACATTAGCTATAGCACTACAAGCAGTCACACAGCAAGCTTCACAGATAAACCTGTCAAGTTTGCTTCCTACTGCTTTATCAACTGAGCATTAATCTAGCCACTCATAAGTGGAAAAGGCAAGGAGATTTAAACTTTCCTCTGTTCAAATAATATATTGTTTTATACCTTCAACTTGAGGGACAAAATCGTGCTATGGCTCAATTTCTGAGTGATTTTGTATTTTATTGTATGAGTTCTATTCGATGAGTAGAATTAAATATGAACCTTCATTGATGATTGCTGGAAGAATTAAATATTGTTTTAAATTTAAAAAAAATAAAACTTTAAAATTAAAAAAGAACCCCAAAACTGACAATCAATAAAATTGTGTATGTGTTTCGAGATGTAGGTAAACATACGTGGTGAATAGGTGGCCAGTGGCTTGGTGATTCTAAATATTCAGGATATGATGGAGTTATATTGGATGTGATCAGATCATGTCAAATATTATCATCCCTTACTGAATATTAAAGGACCACAATAATGCCAGGAAACAAAACTCGTTTTCCTGGCACTATAGGGTCTTTAGGTCCCCCCACTCTCAGGGTTCCACTCCTGCTGGGCTGAATGGGCCACTCGGCGCTGGGATACTCTCCTCCCTCGGCTGACGTCAGAGCCGAATGCACATGCAGGGCAAAAGCCGTGCGTGCATTTAAACAGTTCTTAGGAAAGCATTTATCAATGCTTTTCTATGGACATCCAGCGTCTTTGCACTGTGATTTTCACAGTGAGAAGTGCGGAAGTGCCTCTAGCAGCTGTCAGTGAAACAGCCACTAGAGGCTGAACTTACCCTAGTATAAACATAGCAGTTTCTGTGAAACTGCTATGTTAACAGCTGCAGGGTTAACACTAGAGGGACCTGGCACCCAGACCACTTCATTGAGCTGAAGTGGTCTGGGTACCTATAGTGGTCCTTTAAGTAAGTAAAAGGGAACACTCACAGTCTTGCCCTGACTATATTTGCTTTTACTTTTGTCATCCTGTCATCTGCTATAAGGCATTTATATTATGCTGAATAGTGACAAATACAGAGACAAACATGTTTTCTGATATTGTTTTAGTCCTATAAGAATAAAACATTTAATTACATTTATGTATTCCCTTACAACAATATTTGTGTTATCACCAATGCAACATAAAGAATATAGTGCAACTTGTATTTCTCCCAGGGTTACGTAATTTGTGTTTTATCATTAAGTAAATACGGCATATCATTATCACAGTAATAACAGGGGTAATAAAAACACAGACAACAATAATGAACCATGTGGACATGCTATTTAAATAGAAATTCAATACACTTCATGGAGACAAGATGCAAACATCCAGTACTAACTGTGGATATTCATGTTCTCGATGCCAAGATAGCTAGAACATTCAGTTCATTTTTAGCACTAGTGTTAATCAGAGGAAAATACTGTAGCATATCATACGATTTACGGAGGGCACCCATGGGGATTATTTTAAATAGTTTAAAACCTTAGCACATGTTTCTATGTACTGTATTTTTAGTTTTAATTTAAGAGTTTTGAGTCAGAATAAGTACAGGATTCAGTGTTCTGAAGCTGCTCGGTCCTTTTTACGCCAAAGTATATACATTCCAGCTCCAACCAATTTAGACTGTCAGCAGATAGAACCTTCTCTACGAGCCTCGAAAAATGAAATAATTTATATTATCATTGAAAGAGAACTGCTCCATTCTTTTCGTGGACAATCCATGGCAGCATCACAATAGGGTTAGTTCCCTTCACTTGGCCTTTTAGGACAGGAAATTAAAGCTGTAAATATCCCTTCTACTAGATAGGTTTTTCAGTCTTTTCCCTCTCCTGCTGGCGGTGGACAGTTTCTCCTTTTTCATGATTTATTCTTTTATGTTATGCTTACAAGGCCACTTTTTAGAAAGGCCCAGCCAGTCAGTCCAGCCTATTCCTGGAGACCCAGTACAGCCTTGTTAATTGTGTCTCCATAGCTGTACCCCTTTTAGTAACCGGTGCTCTGACCTAAACTCCCTTTTGGAAGAGATGACATAAGGAAGCTTATGGTTTAAACATGTTAGTTTTTTAAAATCCCCAATTGCTGGTGGAACACAGCCCAGCAGTAAACTATCTGCATTTATCTTGGCTGCTAAGTTAATTTTAAAATGTCTCAGGTAGGGTAATGTCTCAGGTATCAGTAGTATAATTTAATGATTACTAGTATGGTACAGAGGCTTTACTATTTTCATAGTTACACGTTACATTGTATGGGACTTCCTTATAGAAAATAAGTCACATTCAGGAAGTTTATAGTGAGCATCTAGATAAGTCTTGTATATGCCTTCTATTGGTGTACTAGAAAAGAGTGCTAGCTACAGCTAGCTGCCTATATGGAGTCTGACAGTAAGTCCGGTATGTGTCGGAAAGCTTGGTTCTAAGTCCATGTTGGCCCTTGTTTATAAAATTATACATGGCATTGCTAACCGGCACCAGTCTATATTAGCACATAAACAATCCTTCCTTGAGATAATGGAAGATATCTTTGGTTCTGGGCATTCATCTACCAGTCTGTCTCAGCATGTGTACCTATTTTAAAACTACCAACACCTGGCTGTTAATCCACATTGGTACTTGTTCTTTTAAATATTCGTAGCTTTGATTTATTTTAGATAGTGGAAAATAACATTTGAAATCAGCAGAGGGAATCCTACTAACACTATTGATATTGCTACGGTTAGGTTTAAGATTAGAATTTGGATTAAACATAGGAGTGGGTTTAGGATCAGGTATTAGGTTTAGGATTATGGTTAAGATTAGAGTGTGGTTTAGGACTATGATTTGGATTGATGCTTTGCAAAGTATACATTTGGGGTATTGTTGCACTCGGGAGTTGTTGCTGAGTACAATTAAAGGAATTTTATCACAGTGGCACATATGAATGAGTGTACAAAACGTAAATGGATGACACCTAGTTGATCTAATTAGTGGATGTATAAACATAAAATAGTAGCTACTTTATAAGTGTCAAGACTCTAAAATACTCTCCCACTAAAACATACATAAATAAGTTGTCATGTACCTTTAAATAGTAGTATGTAAGAGTGTAAACACATAGAAATTGAGATTGCATTTATAACACTTGAAAATAATATTTACATTAGCACATGTAGGAGAAAGGAAAAACTGTCATAGTGTAAAACATTTAGCAACAATTAAATATAAAAAGGGGGGGCGGGGCCTGACTGTAATGGCGCCCGGACGCATTTTCAGCAAGCTCCTCGAGCAATACTCAATTCAACCTAAATACCGGCATTATCAGCTATTAATCCGAGGCAAATCGAGCAGCTCAGGCACCCAGAACCGACTGTCCGGCTTGAGGTCACTGTCAGCAGCCACATGAAGCCCTCCGGATGCAGATCCATAAGTGTGGCCTGTTGTACGCCCGAGATGGGAGAGGCGGCCAATCTTCTTACCCGGCGGGAGCCAGCTACCTTGCACACAGTACAAGCGCCCTGCTACCCCCCTCTGGGCTGGCTGGGATCATCCCGGCCCTCACCCTGGGGACTTCCTGACTGGTCTGAGAGCAGACGGCACAGCTTCAACAAGCGACAGCCCCTTAAGTGGCACTCCTAAAATGGCGGTCATCAAGTGCTCACTGACCCACAGAACATGTTATCCAGGCTGGACAGCCTCTTTGAGGCCTTCTGGAGGAAGCTGCAGAACAGACAGCTGAAAGCTGCCACACGAGTCCAAAACACCTACCTGCCGGAGACAACACCAAGACGCCAGCAAGCCCTACGCATGGTCCACAAAACCCGTAAGATGCGCCGCAAACGGCTAAGACCGCAAAAGTTGCAGCGGGAGGAACACAGGCCTCCTCCGGTGACAAGCATCTGGACCTCCAGGAGGAGGGAAATGGTCGGGAACTCACACGGGGTACCAGAGAGGCTCTTTGCAGTCAGGCTGACAGCAGTCCAGCGCCGAACCTTTCAGATCTGCAGACTCTGGGGTGACTACCTACCACAGGCATAGGTAAAAGGGAACTAGGCTTCAACCTTACTGCCTAACACTGTTACCAATCCCCAAAGCAATCAAATACCATGGTAATCCTTCTTGTACACCCATCACTATACCGAGATTGACGGACTCATTCAGAAAGCTCGGCTTCTTATGCCTGGGACTGGCTACCTGGGAGTCCCTGGGGTGTTTCCAAGCAACCTTACATATCTAGCAAGTATTTTGTGCATAAACTTAATCCTGGTAAATCAAATAGATATATATGCTTAGCTTAAACAGTTATGTAAATCATCACTGTATCATTTTCTTGTCTTCCTCGTGTCTCAAACTTGTTATCACAAAAAAAAGTGCAGTATATCTTGACTACCCATACCAATAGTTTATGATGATCTCATATGTTGAACAAGTCAGTGTTTATGCCTGTAATTTACTCTGCACTCAAAAATAAAGAATTAAAAATATATATATATATATATATATATATATATATATATATAAGGAAAAATTGTCACTTGCAAACATAGAGCAGATAAAGCTCTGCCTTATTCAACTGAGACACACTCCAAAGCAGCTGTGGAGGTAAGTAAACCAAACTTTTATCTAAGCAGCACTTAAGGATTAAACAGCCAAACTTCTATAATGCCCCAAAAGTAAACACAGAATGGTCAAACCCATCTATCAAAATGCAAATTGTAAAACTTGAAATGATAAAGTATTCACAGGATAGAGACAAATGCATATATTGTGGTATTGTTGTACTGAGAAGATGTAGATAAACACAATATGATGTTTTGTACAGGAGTAGCACACATCAGGTTCCCAAATACACATTATAAACTTGATACACCGATCAGCCACAACATTAAATCCACTGACAGGTGAAGTGATTGATTATATCATTACACTGGCAGCTGTTAAGGGGTGGAATATATTAGGTAGCAAGTGGACAGTCAGTTTTTTAATTTCATATGTTGGAAGCAGGAAAATGGCCAACACATAGCATAAATACAGCACTCGCGCCTATCACACTCAGACAACACACATACACACATTACATCATATTATTGTGAGATGTATTGCAGTGGAGCTATGTAATACAAAATGCACACTATTCTCTGTTTTATAGTTGTGGAGCTCTGTGATACACTATGAGGCACATTAATGGAATTTCTATTGTTGTGGAGCTCTGTGATAAACTGGTGCACACCACATAGTACTGGGAGGCATTGTTCTGCTGTGGAGCTCATTGATAAATACCATCAGATTACTGTGAGACTGTATTCCAAAGATGTCAAGAAAAATAAGGAAAATCCAGAGCTCCAAAACTAAACAACTCACATTATTATGTGACATCAGCAAATACCAGGCTAACACTCTGTAACATCAGGGAGAAAGTCTAATCATGGGTCTGTATGTGGAAGAGTTCTAGTCCAAATTCCCAGCACACTGCGCCACTAGAGATTAGCATGTCCTTCTATCCTGCATGGTAGCAGCAGGGAAGGAGGAATGAATATTGGTATTTTTTAATTTATTTAATAAATTCCCCTTACAAAAAAAAAACCACACACACACACACACACACAGAAAAGTAACAATGTTTTGCACAGGACACCTGAAAGCCTAATACCATATATCTGATTCCATAGATATATCCAGGAAGAGAAAATTATGGTAAATATGGCATGATTTCCTTATTAATCCTCCATGTGCATTGGTTGGAGTAAGAGCTCCAAGTTTCCCTCTTAACTGTAGGACCACAAAAACATTCAACAAACAAGAGGAGGCAAGAACTATTCTCTATCTTTACCTATGAAATGTATTTAAACATACTGCTAATAATACAGGCATAATAATAGCAAATAGTAATAATAATAAAATGGGATCACAATTTGACTGGTTATAGTATATTTGCCTAAGACAAAAATATATATTATTGCCTCTGTTTTTTGTTTATTTGATGATTTTTGTTATTATTATGGACAGCTCAGTTTGTTAATAGGCTACCATGCCAATTGTATGGAATTGTCACAGAAGTTTTTCATCTTGAACTTTTGTGGTCTTTGTTCATGTAAATGTGTAATGCATGTAGACACAACGACATAGGTGCACATGGATGTCCATGACCGGCTGCTTATGTCAAAGGAAGAACCAAAGAGCCTGTTACTCATGCTCCATGACTTAGTTCTGGACATGTGCATATGTCATCATATTAAAAAAAAAATATTTTAATAATAAAAATTAAACCATCAAACCTTGGATTGCTTCCACATTCATCAGACAATTTACAACATTTTGGTAAAACCTTGATCTTATTTACAGGGTTGTTCATAACTTGACATAACAGTAACATGCTGTTATGATTCACAAAAAAAAAAAAATATTCAACAATCACCATGTTTTTAGATATCAAACAACAGATCTAAATTTAGTGAAACAAATCAAGCTGTTCCTGTATTGCTTTTTTTTTTACAGAATTTCCACGGCATTTGTTGCAAATGACTGCATGACGCATGTTCTGTTTGTCTATTTCTCTCAGTGTCTACGATGTTGAAAACAAATGTTGTGTTGTCATGGCAAAGCAATGGCAATGCACTCCTTAACTTAGCAACGAGAAATTATCAGAGTTATGATGGAAAGCAAATAAAATCACCAGCTTTGCATACCATTCAGAGCATTCAACACATTTCCTGCAATATGTGCCCTAGAAATTACTATACAACAACTGAGCATTTTTTCTTCAGGATATTTTCTTACTGCATATTAATAATATTCATTGAAACAGATTTTGATTAAATATGTTTTTTTCTGAATATGTTATTTATCCAGAATGTACTGTCTAACCACTTTGACCTACTGGATGTTCTATGATGTGACAAGAAAATGGGTCACACAATAGTATGTCGGTTATTTAAACACCAGCAGGGGTTCTATAGATTCTTGGGTCTTTCCTCTGTTAGCAGAGACCATTGTTATTGTGTCCAAGCTGATCAATGAATGTGTGCAGCACTCAAAGTGAAAATTGCACGGCAATAGGAAGTACTGAAGCTGACACGTGTAAAATCACCACATGTTCCGCTGATGTGACCTGGCCTCTCTGATACCTCCTGTAGCTAGATTAGGTCTGGGCTAATCTTTCTGTGATCCTGCAGGGAAAGAGTAAAATAATTTAGTGATGAGCTGTTGCAACAGAATTGAGCAACAGAAATACCCTCTCATACTGTTAATATCACACAGTACTGTGTTCTAACAAAGTACTCTGCACTGTCTGTACTAGATAATCCATCTTCTGATTTCAGTAGTGACATCCTCAGCAGTGAGAATCCCTCTGCTGACATTAGCAGTGACATCACTTAAGGAAATCCCTCTGCTTATTGCAGTAAACTAAGGTTAGTTTAGGGGTAGGGTAATTTAGGCTTAGTGTGACAAACTACCCTGGAAACCCTGTGATTCCCCTCTCCCCTGTTATTTGATATGTATTAGGTGGTTTGATCTACCGAACACAGACCACCTCCTGGCTCATTATCTTCAAAGTAACCACAAAGTTAAGTGCTCTCCCTGGAGGGCTGCCATTTGTATAACCGAACAACACGTGCACTGGAAAATGGCAGCCATCTTGTCTCCCGAACGCAGGCAGCGGTACTTGGTCGTCGAGTGTCTGGAACTCCAAGCCGGACACTCTAACCTGCTTCTATTCCCAAAAAGCCAGGAAATCAATATTCAGTGAAAAGGTATGCACAAACAATCGCTACCTATGAGCCAGAGGAATCGTTCTGTATTTTATTCGTTTTGGGACTCCTGAAAGTGACTGACCACTGCCACTTTTCTTCTGGAACTATTTTGGGCAGACACAACGTGTGTGGTCTGTTAAAACTTTACCCCGGTGGCGATTCCACTGTATTAGTACTATTTGGACACTTTGTGCACTGAGATCTAGGTTATTCGGAGATATAAGACTTATGAGGGTCCCTATTAATATTACGTATATTTTGGGGTGTTTTATATGTTATGTCTGTGTATAAAAGTGGGCCATGTGGCCACAATAAAACATTCCTGTTGTACCCTTCATCAAGTCTCAACTGATGTTTGGGTATGCGAACCACAAAACACTTGATTTTCTCACGACCTGCTTGGATTTTGGTAGAGTACGAACGGGAGCACTATGCGAACGGGCTATAATCACATAACCCTCTAGGAGTTTGGGAGAGTGCGAAAGAACATACTATATCAAGTACAAGGGGTTTGTTACAGTCAGCATTAATTTTTATTTAGCTTAAAGCACAATTTGGGTTAGCTAATGAGTAGGGCTATCTTAGGACTAGGAACCCACTCTTATATCCTATATTATTACAGTGCCTAGTACTAAAAACACCTCCAATACAGGGATCAAATTACACCATGTGAGCTATGCCAGCCTGTCTGCTTTTGCAAACCTTGACACATGAGTTAATGCTACTTATTGTGACCTATTGTGATAGTATTGGATAGTAACAGGGCAGAACTATTCATGTGCTGCCTTGCAGCATGAAGATTCTTTATGTGTCCAGGAACACTTTCTCCAGTAACTTTTTCAATTTGTAGTATTTCTCAATTTTTAAAAACCCTGGATGCAAAACTGTATATAGAGGTGTTGTAATTTTGAGAATACAATTTTTACATTTTGTAATTTCTCCAGCAAGAAAAATGGTCAGGGAAAGCTAGTAAACCCCTGCTTTATCATATAAATATATTAATTAACATTGGAACACAGCATTGTAATTTACACCTATGTTCACATGTTAAGAAATATTCCTGTGCATGCAAAGCATGATATATGGATTATGAGCATGTTATGAGATGAAAATTAGGAAAATCAACACTTTTACTGAGGTGAACTGTGAAATCGTTTTGTTTTTTTTCTGTACCTGCAAAGTGTTAAGCATTTCAACTGGCGTTTTGTATCAACAATTACATCCTTTACAATCTCAAAATGATTTTCTTATGCAAAAAATACACTTCCATTTGAATCACTGCTTCTA